AATAGATCAAGCACTAATGCCGATAATTCTGTCAATACAGATCCCGAGATTGAAAGTTACAAGCAAACATGCATACAATCATACATACATACATACAGGTGAAGCTAATATAAAGCGTGTAAAAATACGTATTGTGCGCCCTCGTCTCTATTTTATTGAGAAAAAACATCCACTGCTCTATAATCAACCACTCTTCAACCAACCCTAGTAAATGAATTACTGTTAGGTAATAATAAATTAGACTCCAATTTAAATTTTTTATATTATTTACCTAATTTTCAATCCACCTGCACTGGTAACTATAACACAGTTTAGGCACTTCAACTTATAAAATAAATTTTTCGATGTAAATATACAATTTTGAAAAAATATACAACAGACTATCATCATTTTTTATATATTTTGCCTAACCTATATTAGTAATTTATATTTTATTGCATATTAAATCTATTAGATTATTATATCCTTGTTATCACTGTATATCTAGTAACTCATGACATTGTCTCGAAAATATTAATGAATTTTAGCTGGACCAGAAATTATTTGTTACATAAATGAAACTAAATTTGATTGATTGAAGCTCATCGTATATGTTTTTTAGGCAGTAGTATCTTTAGAGAACCATTAGGGTGGATATATTTTCTGATTTTGATTGATGTCCTCGTCAACGTCATCACACAGAATACTTGTCCAGAATCCGGAGACAAAGTTGAGCGATTTTGAATGGATTCTGTTATGGTACATTATTTTTGAGCAGCAAACTCCATATAAAAATAATCAACATTTTAGAAAGTCCTTTATTCTAGTGTTTTCCTTGCATTTTTTTATTTGTCATCACTAGCTTCATGGTCGACGTAAAAGTGTATTTAGATCGTATTTCATTAGTTTGGACTCCCATTGTCTACTATGATATAAATAGATTTGAAAGCCCTGAAAGAATCTCTATGAAAATTAAAAAGATTAGCTAAAAAAATAACAGTTATTTTATGCAAAAAAAGTGAAATTACAATGAAATAAAATACAAGCAACAATTAAAAATTGGAGTATTAACAAGAAAAGAAAATTAAAAATTATTAACAGGAAAAGAAAATTAAAAGATTCCAATCCAAATTACTTCACGGCGTTACGATTATATTAGTATCCACAGTCGTGGTGATGGCTAGACTTATTCCCCCCCATGTCCCTCCCGGGTTGAATACCCCGAGTTGAAATCATCCCCACACGGTTACTGTGTGCAGAACATTCCATCCCGTCCATTCATCCCCGCTTCTCCGGAGCGGTCCTCAACTTACGAGTACTACTAAACAATCGTCTTCAGGTTGGAGCCCAGCTCACCTATCCCCTCTTCCCCCCAACGCTTCATCGGTTTCAGCGGGAGCTGACCGTTTGGCGGGAGTTGGTCGTGTTCCGGTTGATTATATGTTTCCATATGTTGCGTATCTCTACGCTTACTTGGCTAGCGTAGAGATACGCAACATAAATGTTGTCCAACAAAGCATTTAGCTAAGCTAGCGTAGATATACGCAACATATGGAAACCTATAATCAAGCGGAACACGACCAATTCCCGCCAAATAGTCTGTTTCCGCTAAAGCCGATGTAGCGGAGGGAGGAAAGAGGGGATAGGTGAAAGCACTCGAATGACCTATACATAGTCAAATTTCGGAATTTGTTCTTCTGACAAATGTCAACCGCAAGCCAGGCTCAGGTTGGAGCCAGGCTCCAACCTGATTAAAATTAAGATGATTTGCTGAATAAGTTCATCCATCACCCGAAGACAATTGTGGATACTAACAATCGAAACGTCGTGAAGTAACTTGGCTTGGAATCTTTTAATTTTTAATTTTTATTTCTTGTTAATGATTTTTAATTTATATTTCTTGTATAGTTCAATTTTTATTTGTTACTTGTATTTTATTTCATTGTAATTCCAGTTTTTTTGTTTGCTTAGTATAATTGTTATTTTTTAGCTGATCTTGTCAATTTCTTATAGATTTTTTCAGGGTATCAAATCAATATATATTATATTAGACATTGGAAGTCCGAACTAATGAAAGGCACCAAGAAATATTGTCAACCACCTTCAAACAAATGTATTTAGATCGGTTGGGGGTAATGTTTTTTTTTTCTAAAGAACTTCATGAGTTTTGAGTTTTTCAAACTCTACTGATTCTTACATTGACTGTTTCTGACAACCTTGAAACTGGAACAAAAGAAACATGTTGAAGATCACCGGAAAACAGGTTAGATTTCATTCTTTTTCAAATATAACTGGTCTCTGCATATAACGGAAGATAAAACTTCACATCGTCCAGTGAGTAGCTGAAGTAAGAACAAATCTGTTTAACATGACCGATTTACAGATAGATAGAAAAAAGATAATTTGAAGGATTTTTGAATATTAGGCACTTCGTCTAAGAATCTTTCTAGTTAAATAAAAATTTGCATCACCACTCCCAAGACTGTAGAATACGATTCTTAAACGACGTGGTATGAAAAAGAATTTGGTTCAGCGATATTGTTCGAATTTCAAAGGTATTGGGGTGTTTATAGTTCAATATAAATTATTGACTCTATCTTCCCAGACTTTCTATATTGTACGGTTGAACGTACGAATGAATTAACCTCCATTGTACGACATTATTCTCTTGACAGCTAGAACCGTATCATCAATCACGAAACGGGACACAACCACAGCATCCAATCTACAAATGCAATTACCAGGTTTTATGCGTTCTTGGTAGTCGATCGAGAATTGCGAGAAATAATGAACAAAAAATCAATTCCGATCAGAAGCATTTCCTGGAAAATCAACTGAAGAGATTTTATACTCAACAGATTCTATTAGGCGTTTGAGTGTTTTTGCAGTAAACATTTCCGAGAAAATACAAGTGTTTGCTAGATGTTTCAGATCTCAATCAATCGACAGAAGTCTTTGGTGTATATTTTTTCACTGATAGATGTTTTTTCATAATTTCGGAAAGCGATGACTATTCCATTTGAGTTTATCAACGTAATTTCTCAACTGAAATATTTAAAACGCACTGACAACCACGAAAACTGGAATTGATGTTGCAACTACTATCCCAGAAAAATATATTTTTGATGAAATGCCTGGCCAGAAGTTGTGTTTTGACTTGAAAGCATTCAGAAAAACTCTTCTTAGCCTCACAAATGAGACAAGCGAACTCTACGATGTTCAGATTGTTCTAAAAATGCGACTTTAGGAAATGAAATCACTCTTCTTTCATATGAGTTAGGTAGGTATATACCCCGTCAAACAGAGGAAAGAGTCCAACTAGTTCATAAGATCAAAAAAGAAACAATGGGATGAATAGTTCCATCAATATAGGAGTTGAACACTTAGACAGTTCGGAAGTATCAAATGACTGCAAATGTTATTGTCTGACAGAGCTCAATAGCCAGTAGATATGAGTCTGATACAATACATTTGTGGGATTTTCTGGAAATGTGATGGAGACTGATTAGGGTTACCTCAATACTGAAACCTAGGGAAATCGGAGAGGATTTGTCAGAGGCATAGAGACCAATCAATTTTATGATGACTTTTTTTTGAACACGTTCTCAGCATCAATTATGCAGAAGATGAGAAGAAAAGATTAGCTTGAGGTGGAAATAATATATGCTTGAAGGAGGACTGGTTTAGGTACAGTATTATTATAGGAAAACCTGTATTGGCATAGATAAAGGTTGTCATCAGGAAATTATTTTTCTCCACTTGTATAGTAAATGAGGTACTGCAGAAGCTCAGTCATTCAGGTCGACGGAAAATGTAATGGTATAGTGTAGAAACGCATGAAACAGACACTGAGAGACGATTCAAACATCATCCCCTATGCTGTAGTAATATTCACCAAGAGAACAAAAATTGAGAGTTTAGGACCTTCAAAACTTCTAATTGAAATTATACAATTGTCCGTGAATGTTAGGAATAATTTTGAGTAATATAAGATCCCAAACTGATGTTGATCCAACATCTGAAGTTGACATAGAAAGACACAGGCAAAAACTAGACATGACGGCAATGCACAGCTATCACTATTAACGAACACAGTACTTCCATCTAATGCTTCCACCTAGCAAAAACTGTACCATTTCTCTCGATTTCTACAGACATGATGTCCAAACTAACATGATAATGACGTGGATCATTTAAAAGAACTGAGTGGCAGAATTATCAGAAGCCACAGTTTGTAGATGATGCAATAAGAGAATAGAGCCAGCTCATCATATCTTAATCAAATATGAGCCATTGACATACTTATGAGCTTGCAGTATTTTCTAGAAACTTGGAAGAAATGGATATTGGATAAGTCAGTCGGTTCTCGCCGCAAAAACGCCACATCTGCTTGTGTTGTATACCAGAAAATAGAATGTAAAGTTCTATCGAGTTAACACAATACCTACAAACCTGATAACATATTTTGAGAGCTGTTTTGACCTAGAATTGTTTCTACGATGGGTCGTTGAAGTTGACTGCTCTACCAGATGGTGATCTATCTGGTAGAGCAGCCAACTTCAACAAACGTTGAGGAAATATTTTCCATAACAAAGTTTCTTGTTGGAAAGTGTAAAACAGAACATTGGCGTAAATGTAAAACTTGGGCTACCTTAAGAAAGCTTTCGTTATAAAATTGTAGATAAATGTTTGTTTGGAGGTGATTGACAATGTTTCATGATGAATTTCATTGGATCAGCCTTCCATTGTCTAATATTATATAAAATGATTTGAAATCCCTAAAAGAACCAATACAAATGAAAAATTAAAATAATAGCTGAAAATAACAATATAAAATTGTTTAATATAATTGTTATTTTCAGCAATTTTTTCATTTGTATTGGTTCTTTTAGGGATTTCAATTCATTTTATATAACATTAGACAATGGAAGTTCGAAGTAATGAAATTCAGTGTAGAACAATATTAAGCGTACGTTTAACACAAATACGAGTACAATGTAGCCACATCGTAAAAAACTCACCACATCAATGATATGATGTAAGGAAATTCCAAATATAACACTGAGCGGTAGAGATGAATTCTGAGCAGGCCTCACGGCAGCGTCGTAATCTGCCATCAGATGGCGCATCAGTCGGACTTCGTTTTCATCTCCTCGACATGGGACCATTCCTGAAATTTCAAAAATATTATCATGATCAAAATTGAATAGACGCTGGCAAGAAGAAATTTTCGGTTTCAGTGACGATTTTGCCTTAGAATCATTATTTTTTAATAATTTAGAATAAATGTATGTATTTATTAATGAAGAAACAGAAATAGTGCTCTTTAAAATAATCAATGAACGGATTTAGTTGATAATTAGTTTCACTAATTGATCAACTAAATGAGACGTATACAAATTCACAGGTCCTGATGAAATTTTAATGTGATCATCAAAGATAATAAGAAAAACTTGTCAGCACGCATTACTAATTTGTCATTAACACAAGGAAAATGTTTTAGTCTCAAACCAGGCTTCATAATTCTCATAGGTGATCAAAATTACACAAAATGAATTCACGTGAAACAACTAACCAACCCAGAACAAACACTGCCTCCGAACACCAGAACTGCAACACTATTCTCGACGCATCTTTCATCATTGAATCTAGCATCTTTAGGAGATGGAATAGACTCATTCCTAAATATGGGCTATTTATATCTATCAGGGCACACTTTCCCTTTGATCTTCAGGTACAGTTTAATGATTCCTTCGTTGAAATTTTTGAAACTTGGCAAAGTACATCGGTCAGACTAAACAAGCTATTTAAACTCAGTTTAAGAACATACAGAAAAAATGTTACCTAGGAAACTAGAAAAGTATGGTGTCGTTGAACACGCTTTGAAAAACAGTAAAAGAATAAAAAAATACTAATAAATTCAGTTTACTGTATGATTTTCACTATAAAGGGTATTGCAAAAAACGCTACACGTGTTTCTCTATACAATAGCTTCCTCAAGAGTAGACAGTTTACGCTTGGGGAAGCTATTGTATAGCGAAACACGTGTCGCCGTTTTTGTAAAACACTTTATAGTGAAAACCATACAATAAAATGTATTAATTAGTTTTAATATAGATTTTTATCAAATATATATTCAAGTATCAAGTTCTATTCAATTAGTAAAAGAATAAATGAATACCGTCTGAAACTTTCGATATCGTCACATGTGTGACGCAGCAGTAACAATAGTCATTTACCAAACAGCCCAATGTTCACCATTATTTTGAAAGTTCCCGTCAATTTGTGTACCAAGAAGTGAAAGTGGAAATGTTTTGGATTTATTATTGTTGTTCTTGTTCGAATATGAGATCGCTGGATTATATCAGAGAATATACAAATGCAGATTTTTTTCATAATTACTACAATTGGTACATATCACTATATCGAAAGATTTGGAGTTGAATCCGAAAATATTAAATGAGTACCTACTATTCTTCAGTTGCAGATGAATTCACAAAAAATGTAACCGTAGCCTATGATCCACTAATAAATCTAGCAAACGTATGACTTATGACTTACGTATGACTTAATCTTGTATGACACTAATATTGATGAATTGAAAGAAACGTTACATGATAATAAAAATAAAACCGCAACTGGATTTGATGACATTTCTGTTGGCATTTTTGAGAGTCTTTGGCGGAGAGTCTTTGACTATTTGCAGGCGTTCCGCAAGGATCAATCTCGGGTCCGATTTTGTTTTTACTATATGTTAATGACTTGACGACGCTTGATATTATAGGAAATGTCACCCTGTTCGCCAATGATATCACCATTCTACGGCATTATGATAAGCAAGCTGACCTTCATGATATCATTAATTCAGATATAAAAAAGGTCAGAGTGATGCGACTCAAACCTTATATATTTCAACATATTGAAAACTATGATAGTGTCCTTTGAATGTGCAGTTGCTGATATTTCTTTAAACTACCAGATTATTGAAAATAGTGTTTTTTCTAAATTTCTAGGACTATACATCGACAACGGTCTCAAATTCAATGAATATGTCAAAAACTTGAATCAAAAATTGTCCTTTGGTTATTATGCTATGAAAATTGCTGCAATAGAACTAGGATACCCAACCACAAAGATATTATACGGTATTCCATTCTGGGGAATGTGCAGTGGTAATGTTCTTGAAACAAAAACAAAATTTCATTACAGGGAATAGATACCCCACCCGTCAAAGTAACCATCCCAACCTACCATTACCATCTTCCCTCTCATTAAGGATTCAATTATATATATAACGGCTGCAAAATGTACAATCACCTTCCAAATGGTAATAAAGTTATACCGTCCAACGCCAGCTTCAGAAAAGCAGTAAAAAAAGTTCTTTCTGGTAGAACCTATTATAGTTTGAAAGAATATTATGTGGATAGAATAGAATGATAAGTAGACCAAAACTATACACTCATATATACTTTCTATACACTATACAACTTCTATTTTTTGTTATATTTTGAATTTCAAATAAGTGACTGATTGTTTTTATTTAATTAAATTTTATATGGTAGTGACTATTTTTATACATTTATCAAATGTCATTAATTCAATTTATATTTACGTTTATATAAACAAGTTTTGTCAACAAGATATTATTCTTTGATATTGAAGCATATTTTGATTGATCGATTGATTGACTAATCAACTAATCAAAATCATAATCTCTAAAATAAAAGAAAAAGTGATAGCTGATAAAATTTGATTTGTCCACCCCCAATAAAAAATCCCAACGTTTTATTTGATATTTACGCAGCTCTGTATCATTTGCCTCCCTCGTTTTGATTTGTACAGTATTTTTGTCAAACTCAACATCTCAGAAAGTGTAAATATACGTCAACAATTATTTATTTCGTTGGGAATGAACGTGGTCCTGCTTCATCCCGAATTAACATAAAAAATTTTGGACTCCCTCCTAATAAACCTTCTCACTAGGAATTTTCACATAATTTTATCAACCTCAACCGACACTGTGGAATTTCATTTATTAAATTCTTGTGCGCCGGACTTCATGATAATAAAAAACCTCCCTGCTTCCTGTGAACAAATAACTCCATTCTTCGCAGTCACAATACCCGTTCCAGGATTTTGAGATCTCATTCTCCAGAACTAGCCGCTGAAAATGTTCACAGCTACTTGGTTGCAGGGTTGTCAGATTGTTGTATTCGAACAATTACATGATTATTCAATGCAAACCTTTCCGTTCACGTGGACTTTTAGTTTCAAACTGACATGAAACAGTACAAATAATAGATACAAAACTAAAAGCAATACGACGCGTACGATGTACGAAAACAATTTGTTTCCACTCAATCACAAAATGTTCCCATTCAATCACAATCCGTTTCACAATCATGAAATCAATGAAAAAGTACATAGCGGCATCGCCCTCAATGTTAAAATCATCACGGATGATTGTAGGCAAGTGTCAAAAATCTGTTATATTAATTTCATCAAATAAAAAGATAGCCCACCCGGTAGGTCAATCTACCAAAAGAAAAATTTGTCACCATTGAGCTCCCATTTTTCTCCGTCTTCTTTTTTATTCAACTTGTTCTAGATTTTCTCACATAACTGAATCATCCTGAAAAACAATACTTATCCTTCTATGATTTTCATCATTGTTCTCCGGAATGCTCATAGCAAGGAAAATGAAAATGGACTAGATAGCAGCCAAATTCCAATGCGTTATCAATGATTTCTCATAAAATGAAGTTGAAATCTTTGTTTCTTCAAGATATAATGAAATTCCTCAAATCTAAAGAAATATCTATACAACTGGCAACGCTTTTTGACTGGATGGCACACATGGAACGTGTAATCCGAAATTGGTACATACTGTGGCAGGGTTTTGCACAGGGGGCGTATGAACAATTCTGAGCGGATTAAACAACTTGGTCCTGCTCGAGCTGATGAGATTACACAATTCAAGTGGATTCTAACAAGGTTTGGATTGTTCTGACTAAATGAACAGATATAATAGACAGCCGTCTAGCCATCTTCGGGATTTCACTTTGACTTCATTTCAATCAGTTAAGTGTTCATTTGACTGTTTTCTAAATGGTTTTGAAGTCGGGTTCTACAAGTTGACAAATAGTTTTGAAGAATCAAGTAGCACATACTATTTTGGATTGCGAAATAGAACTTTTAGATCAGGAGTCATATTATACGAGTGAATTATGACAAGAATTGTGTTTGAATTCCCATTTAGAGATGCTGTCATCCTTCCTTCTGTGATCAGTTTGCTTGATGTCCTTGACAGAAAAGAGGTAGAATATTGAACAGTGTTTGTAGTTGCTGCCAGAGGGAGCAAATGTATGTAAACCTTAGCAAAACTGTGATAGACCTCTTCGCCAGAAAAAGGGACCTGGATGATATTAACTCTACTTTCTTTCAATTGGAGGATGGGGTATTTTCACTAGAACTCGGAGAAAGTTATACATAAAGCCAGGCAGGCTTGCCTGGCTATCTCTGGCGCCATCTGCACCACACCGTCAGCGACCCTCTGAACTTTCCTTATCTCCACATCTTTCTGTTTAGAAGCTAGAACTTTTTGGCAAACAAAAACCCCCGATATTCGCTGTTTGGCAAAAACTATCAAATCATTAAGAAATAATTGACATGATACTTTTTTATTTGAAATCGATATAATTTTTTCATTTTTTTGGATAACATGTTATCGCCATTTTAAAGCTCCATAATCTTTTGAAAGCACTACCCCCAGTGAAGTGATGATTTTTCAATGGTTTTTGTGTCAGAATTAGTCCCTTTTGTCAAACAAACTGAACGTTTTAGTTGAAAAAGGAATAGTTTTTTATGGACTGAAACTTTTTGACTACTTTCTTCTCTATCATTGAACAAACTTCCAAAGAAAAGAAAAATGTTAATAACTACAATCAAAACTCTTTATACAGGTATGCAGAACAAATTTCTGCAAAGGAGAAGTTTTGGGAAGTCTTTGGAGTATCAAGAGTTTTTATTGTAGTTAGTATCTTCCTCTCTTTGGAAGTTTTTTTTCAGAATAGAAGTGTTTTATTATTGCGAAATTTTATGCCTGGCAGTTCGGCTTGCGGTTCATTTTCAAAAGCTCATTCTGTATGAATGT